TTACGACTTCACTCTAGTCAAAAACTCCTTATTATAAAAGTGACAACTGTTTCTCACCTGTTTCTGACCATTAAGGTTTTATTTATATATTCAGCCTTTGTCTTTGTATATCATTTTCACAAGTTGGGTTCTCCGCGTACACGCATATGGCTGCTCATGTGCGCATGCAGCCAAGGCGTGGGGAGCAGGAAACAACACAAAAAACAATTGGAGACTTGTTTTTCACTGGTTAAAATGTTATCCAATTTAAAAACAATAATACATTAATATTTAAAGATGTTAGGTTCCCCCTTCAAATGAAAAAATGTATCTAAAATTCTAAGTTGTTTTTCAATGAGCATTTAACCTAATTGTATCACAACTAGATTTTAACAGAGAAAACCTTGAGCTCAAATATCATAATTCATAAACCACAGTTGTTGAATTAAAAGCTATAAAATGTTCAACGTCAGAGAAAGAATAATTCTTTTCATGCGTGCAAATGGTATTGGGTTCCAAGCGGAAAATGATACGGCGAATTATGTAGCATCACATTTTGGCGTAAAGATGTGCGACTTCGTCTAGGTCGAGAGACCCCATCTCTGTTTGTGAAAATCCTAAACAAGGACAGGCTTCCATGCCCTCCAAGTTAACTTTTATATTTTTGGAGGTTGTAAGGGATTGATGTGGGGGTTTACCGCGTCTTTCTCTATCTCCTTATTCCCTTTTTCTTACTTCATTTGTTGTTAGCCCGCTGTTGAGCAAAAGTTGTACACAATATGTAAACAAATAATTCACTCGTCACAATTTCACCCTCGTTCATTTTCGTAGAGGGTTTTATTAATTTGAGCTCGACCCATTCCAGACTATGCGTCTATTAATTACAATCCTTTGTTAAAAAGGAAAACCCTTTGATTCCAATATGAATAAATCGTAACTTGGGGATTTGGGTGTTTGTTTGATTTTGCGACTGCACCTAGGTCGAGCCTTAGATTGCCTACGTACCCTCGTTGAGGGGTCAAGTCACTCGTAGTTCCTTATGTATTTGTTGGGGTTTGATGCCTTGTGCAGTTTAAGCTGGTGCAGTCGAGGACTTTGAGCTATTGGAGTGTTTGATGCCTTGTGCAGTTTTAGCTTGTGCGAGTAAGGACTTTAAGCCATTGGAACATAATGCAGCTTCTTGCCATTTGAGACTTGATGTGGCTTTGTGCCATTTGAAATTTGATGGGCTTTGTGCCATTTGAGTCTTGTCGCGGCTTTGTGCCATTTAAGTCTTGTTGCGGCTTCGTGCCATTTAATATTCGATACAGCTTCGTGCCATTTGAAGTGGCTTTGTGCCATTTGTAGCGGCTTTGTGCCATGTAGCAGCGGCTTTGTGCCATTTGGTATTTGATATAGCTTCGTGCCATTTGATATTTGATACGGCTTCGTGCTATTAGCCACTTCAGAAATTTGATCTATTAAATTTGACATACTGTAAGTCCCTTGAGTTCTGTGCTTTGAGATGGTTCACATCTACCATATTTGAAGTGATTTACATCCTCCACGGATTCGATGTCGGCATCTCTTCACACATGATGTGCCTCTATCACGCTATTGGACTCCTGCTCATTTATTATTTTGGCCCAATTTCCAATTTTGTGAGGCCTAGTTAAAACTGTGCCTTACCCAATAAAGTTTGAGAAGGGTTAGGATCCCATTTAAAATGGGTTTCACATGAGTGCCTTTCCTAAGGGAAGTTGTCAGCAAGCTTTATTTTCTTTATTTTTATTTTTATTTTTTATTTTATGAATTAAGATTTCCAAGTTCAAATAGGACTTTGCTTCCCCTTCCTTTTGTCGTTAGCAACTTCTCTTCTTAACTCCAAGACGACGGCTGCGACAAGATTTTTTTTTTGCAAATCCATCGCTCGCTGTGACCTTGTCCAGGATCATTGCTTGTTGTAGCTTCCTTCCTTGTCAGGCGAGAGTTGTTGTTTCATGCTTTGAACCACTCCGAGAGATTGCTGGAAGAACTGAGTTATTTATCGGTGTGATTTCTGAGAGGCCCCTTGGAGAGCATCAGTTGAGGGGCTGCTGCATGTGCGAGTACGGACAGCGGGGATGAGTTTCTTTTTTTGTCTTCATCCGCTGCAGGTTCATGCATGTTTGTGGGAGCAACGAAACGATGGAAACACCATTTCTGCACCATTGCCTTGTTGTTTGTAGAGAACCATCTTCTACGACTTGGTGCACAAAATTTTGAGGTTGTTCCTGGTTGCTTTTTACGGGACAAGGCCTGCACTATTGGGCTACTCAGACGACGACTCGACAATCTTCTTCCTGGTAACCTTTCTATAGGGACCGGGTCTTCAATGGCCTCGTTACGGCGGACAGAAACTTCTAACAGCAATGCTACGACGGTACTTAGATTTGATTGGAACTTCACGGGGCGGTTTAGACCACCCCGAAGAAATTCATGGGATTGACGGTAGCAGCACGGAGCACTTAGATTTGATTGGAACTTCACGAGGTGGTTTAGACCACCCCGAAGAAATTCATGGGATTGACAGCAGGGGCACGGAGCACTTAGATTTGATTGGAACTTCACGGGGTGGTTTAAACTACCTTGAAGAAATTCATGAGATTGACGGCAGTGGCACAGACAAAGTTGTTGGGCATAGAAGTCACAGCATGGCCGCTGTTGGTGGCAGAGACGATGGTTTCTTTGCTGCTCTCGGCGGAGAAGACGACAAATGTCTCTAATGGTGGAGAAGAAGAAGGAGCACTCCGTGGCTGGAAGAGTTGACAGCAACAAGGATGGAGAAGACGACAAATGTCTCCATTGTTGGAGAAGAAGAATGAGCAAGCCCAAGGACAGGTTTAGGGGGTCAGTGTGAATTGGTGTTGCATGTTTCCATCACCACCTTCTTTGTGTCGGTCAAACAAGAAGAAGAGGAAGCCTCTTTTTTATTTATTATTTATTTATTTATTTATTTTCTGCAAAAGACAACAGGAACTTCCCAATAAAAAAAAAATCAAGAAACCATTGTGATAATGTACTATCTTTTTAAGCTTTCTCTTTTCTTTCTTTGGCTTCTTGTTACTGTTCCTTTTCGCTTTCTTTTGCTGCTTGTCTTCTTCTTTTTTTTGTCGATTTCTTCTCCGTATGCTTCTCAATTCATGCAGCGTTTTCTTGTCACTTTCCTCCTTTGCTATCTTTTCCCGTCCCCTTTATTTTTTGTTGTGTTGATTTTTGTCATCCCCCTTTCCTTGACAGAGACAGGTCTTTTATAGACTTTTTCTTGATGGTTTGGATGAACAAAAGTGGGTGTGGGTAGTGGAATTGGAACCACCTCCACTATCTGTTGCAGTTTTTAGAGATAGGAAGAGAAAACTCCCATTTCAGTTTTCTTTCCAACGTGGAGCAACTGCTCCCTTTTTTTATCCACTTACTTATTTATTTTATCAGAAAAGGGCTTTAATCCATATTTGGACTTAAGCTACTTGATGTTTGGGCTTTAGGCATCAATGGTGGAGTGAAACCCAATTTAATTTTTCTGGTGGATTTTTTTTTATCTCAACATCCGCGGTTGGCTTTCTATATTTTTCTTGGCTTCAGCCCTGATAATGAGATACTTTTAGTTTTCAAAAAAAAAAAAAAAAATGTAGGGCATTCAACATGCTCCTTTGATTTTTTATAAAAATAGTATCGTTTGTCATTATATCGAAAAAAAATCACTCTAATTCTATCTTAATATAAAAATACATCATTAGATCAAATTTCAATTGAATTAGAGTTTTGATATAAGTCAAGTAGATTGAATGGAAAAAAAGAAATTAAACTTTTTTTTTTTTTTGAACAAATGATATTATCTATACTAAGGAGGAGGGGGTAAGCTTAAACTCACAATGAGTTAGCAATAATGTGGTTCAAATTCGCCTTTGAGGAAAATCGAACCTAAAACCTCTCATTTACAAATGAAGATAAATACTACTAAACTGTAGTATTAAGTGACAAAAATTAAACTATTTAGATTTACCAAAATTCAACTATTTCTAATTTGCCCTTAACACCCGGGAAATTTGGAGCCCTCCTAATTGGATAAGAAGAGTCGTTGGGGAACTTGAAAATGATGGAAAATTGCATGTGCATGAAAAATAAATGAAAATTGCATCCCTATAATTGTATTGAGTAGGGGCACCACCACCACCACCACCACCATCACCAATTTTTTACCATTAAGGAAAAGATTTCCTTTTCAAAGTGCTCCCCCCTTTCCGTAAAGTCAAAAAGTCAGACATATTATTATTGAGATTTGAGGAGGCAACTCCTCCAGTTTGCGTCTGCATCAACTTCGTGAGCGATTATATCTACATTAAAGAGGTGAAGGATCAGTTAAATTTTATAATAAATTAGTTATAATAATGAAGTTTAAATTTGTTTTTGATAAGAATCGAATAGAATATTTTCCACTTATAAATGATGAGAAATACCAATAAAGTGTAATACTAAGTGGTTGCATCTTTTAGAATATAACATTTTTTTTTTTTTAATTTCTTTTGCCTGAAATCACAACCATTTTGTGAAATGCTTTCAATGTTAGCCATATGCCAGTGAAGCCCATACAAGAACTTATTGATGTCCTTACATGCTGGGCTTTTTTGTGAGCGACGATTTGGGCCAAGAATTACATATCTGAATAATAGCCATTAGATGATTTACTTAATCGGATCTACTGGCTTTTGTTTAAATGTGTAATTTAAATATGCATTTTTAAGAGAGTTTTTTTTCCCCCTTTTTCTTTCGAGTAAGAATGGATTTTAATGGGCGTATCACAATTCACAAACACTTTAGTATGAGAGCTTTTGTTATGCAGTCGTCATATATTATTTTATCTATATCTCTCTTTCATCGCTTGCCTTTATCATATCACATGACAAAAGAAATTGAGAGAAAGTGTTACATCTCTGATTACACGAAAAATTTGCCTTATGATAAATGAAATTCACACATAGACATAAGACGGACAACATCAAAACTCATAACAAAAATCCTTCATTGTTTCCATTACCAACATATGAACATTCACAAAGACACTCAATAGAACAAAATAAAAAACAACAACAACAACAACCAAGCCTTATTCCACTAAGTAGGGTCGGCTGTACGAATCTTAGAATGCCACAGACTCAACAGAACAAAATTTTTATTAAAAAAAACTTAGTCTTAAAACAAGTATAAGTTCATTTTATTCAACATGCAGTAGCAGCTTCCTTTAGCTTGCTCAAAAGAATTCTTTCCATCTCAGCTGTGAGTCTGTGACATGATTTGTTCATAACTTTGGCCCTCTTTGCTTGTTATTTGATATTGCTTTGAGTATTGAGAATTGAATTGGCAACAATTTGTGGTGGAAATATTTATGAGATGCAATTAACTAGCACTTGGGAAGGTCACTTGGAGGTGGAAGAACAGATTCATTTGGGCCTTTGCCATTGTCCACCACAAATGCCATCTTCAGCCCCCATGTTGTGTGCACTTCAAGATGGCAATGCATAAACCAAATCCCTGCATATGTAAATATGGTTTTATTGAAAATCTTATACTGTATAAGAGTCATACATGTTACGTTATTAGACTGTCAATTTATACGACTGATATTATCTGAGTACTATATGCATATATGTTTTTCTTCTTTCTAAATATTGCCTTCTAATCATGCTTATTTCACTCATTAACTACTTACCTCCATGAGCTTTTTTCATTCCTTAATTTTTAACGTTAATTATAATTTATATGTGCTTTTACGATATCGAAATGGGGAATTGGACCTAAGAAGGATACATGCTTTTAGCCACTTAAACTATGAACCTCTTGCATCTCTTGCATGTTTGTTTCTAGCACAAACTAAACACATAATTAAGGAGGAGATGTGGGTTTATACCTGGATTATCAGCCTTGAATCTGATAGCAGTCCATCCATTTGATGGCACTCCAATTGTGTTCCTCTCAACAGGATCAACGAGGTTGAATTTTTTTGGATCCTTCTTTGGGTTGAAATTTCCCAGTCCCCTCCCAACCTCAAAGAAATTAAACCCATGAAGATGCACCGGATGGGTTTCAGGGGCAATCATCCCAGTGCCTTGCAACACAAGTTGCACTGTGGAGTTGTAAGCAAGTCTATAAAGCCTAGTCCCCTTCCTGGTCTGCAAATTCGTCGGACTGTGTCCCGGTGTAATTATAAGGATTCAGAGGGTTTCCGGGAAAATCATCAGTAAAAACTCCACTTATGTTGAAGAAATGTGCTTGAAGAAGTGCAATTTTAGGCATCACAAATGTGACATTGTTGATATCTGCCACCACCCTGTTACCATTGGTACATGAAGCGCAAGTGTGAAGCCCTAAACTAACAGTGAACAAAAGGGAGTGGTCAACCTTCAACGGAACCCTAGCTGGAAATCGGATTGAGTTTAGACTTTTGAGGGAGTTTGTAAAGTTTGTTGCCACAATTGTGGCATTTTGAGGAGGTGGGGCTGTGAGAATGGTCTTCGTGCTTTGAAGGGTGCCTATATAGTGCAAAGTAGCGGTGGCGGTCTTGTTGTCCACAACGATGGTCGGATTGTCCATGAATGGTGAGGCTGCAACCAAGAACTTGCCTGAGCCAAGGTTTGTTGTTACAAGAACATTTGTTGTTTGCCCCGGGGCTATGAGAATGGTGTCAGTTTTGAAGGGTTTTGTGTACACAGCATCAACTTCGACTACCGTTAATTTGTGGTTAGCAATCTTAAAGAAGAGCTCTTCATTCAGTGCAGCATTGATGATTCTTAGCATGTATGTCTTCCCAGGTCTTACCGGTAATTTTAACCCTCCTGTATATACATCACATATAACTTAGAATCTATATAATAAATACGCATCAATCGTCACATCATGTCATCAGTTAATGAGCCGCACTAATATTTACCTTGTGGTTGACAAGTTGAGAGTGGCCCTGGGTGACCATTGATTGTGTGAGCATCAGAGACATTTGGGGCTAAGCCAGATCTCAAAGCCTCATTGATGACAGCTTCCGTATCTGATTTCCACCATTCACCTGCAAGTTAAATTAAGCAAAAAAATACTCTTTTAAAATAAATTTCTTTTGATACAAGCAATAGTAGAGGAGTAGGATTAGAACATCGGAAATTGAATATAGAAAATATGAGGGCAGTGGTCTTGGGCTCACCTAAAATCACAACCAATTCCTTTTGGGGAGCAGGAAATGGGTATGGGACACCAAGCTTGGGTAAGATGACCAAGGCACCATGGACAGTGGCCCTGAGCCACAGAATGTGCGCATGCCACCAAAGTGTGCCCCTTTGCCCAGTGATGGTGAAGTTGTATACATATTGCTGGTCCGGTTGAATTGGACACTGGGTTATGTATGCTGGCCCATCGGCCCAGCCCGTTCGGAGTTGTCGAATCCCATGCCTTTTGATAAAAACCGAAAACATTATTACGACATAATCATGTACTTATTAATCATATTACTGATCGCATCTCCATAAGTTTTGACGGGGACAAATTTGAAACATTACCAGTGGATGCTAACATTGTATTTGACATGGTTGACCACCTTGATTAGCACTGTATCATCTTCCCTAGCATAAATGGTGGGACCAGGATACCTTCCATTGACAGTGACAATGGGCTTGCTTGAACACAATCTTGAGATATTCTTCTGCACCACCTACACAAACGACATGTAGCAGTTCATAGTGGAAGTCGTTAGTAAAACTGTAGGATCACGCTCCCGCAAGTTTGGTGGCTTTTTCTCAACTGCACCGCCTACTTTGCTGTTTCATAAAGTGTTGCGTGGCAATTGGCGAACAGAGTTTGGATTTTCTGATTAAATCTTGGGGTTTTGATTAATCTTGTTTATATCACATACTACGTTAAACAAAAACATTAGCCATTTTTATTTATCTGTCACATTTTTAAAAATTGTTTGATGTTTTTTAATCTATATAGCACGGACTTATACAGGTCATTTAAGAGAAGAGATCCTCATTTAAAAAAAAAAAAAAAAAAGAGATTAGTTGTGGAACTCACTCCATATCAAACTTCAACATTCCGAACCTTCTATTTTGTAAGTATTCATTGATTATCCTAACAAAAATTCAATTCAATTCGAAATCATCTGCCCATTTAATAATCATGATGGAATTTCTATGTTTCTTATAACGTAGTGTTTGTCAATTTTTTTGAACTTAATTAGATGCATCAAATATTTTCTATTTAACTAATATTTTGCAATGATGATCTATGATGTGTAATTTGAAATATAGAAGATTCGAATTACTGAAGTTCAATGTAATGTGGATCCTGTAACTAATCTCTAATTTAAAAAATAAATAAAGATTTATTCCCTTAAAGATTATCCGGACTTATATTATTTTTCCTTCATAAGAGTCAGACCTACAAGTTTGTAAGTCCCACACTATTTTGTGAGAGACAATTGCACAATATATTTATGTGTGTGTGTGTGTGTGTGTGTCACGAACAACGGAACAAGAAAGAGAAAAATGATTAACCATGCATTGTCACAAATTAGAGTTCTTCCATTTTGTAAGTTGGCTGGTCACCTCAATATATAATCAATTCATTAAGCTAGGATTAATTTAGCAAAAAGTTAAGAGGGTGACAAGAGCATGCCATAAGCATAGATGAATTAAGAGAGGTCAACCTTGTTGCTCCTAATAGAAGTCACTATTAATTTTATTTTTGCATGTACCTTATATGTGGATTATTACACCCTCTATATATGCATATAAAATATTATACTGCATTTGAGTAATGCTAGGCAGATCAACTTTTTAGATTAAATTTGCAAATCTTGTGATATGTCACTGATAGAAAATAAGCACTTTAATCAACATTTAAATAATAATTCAATCATCAACAACCATATCACATAGTTTACAAAATATGATTTAAATGGATAGTCCCTAGCATTATTCTTCTGAATTTGTGATCAACACATACAATCATTTATTAGCAATTAATCATGTTAAACTTACAAGAAAGACACCAATTAATATAAATTAATTGTCTCCCCTAATCATTTGAATGAGAAAATAACAGCCAAACAACCAAATATACTATATGCATGCACACTGCGCTGCAAATTTGGCAATGTTGTTCAATGTCTTGCAAAGTCCCAGTAACCAAAAGTACTAGCACTGCATGGTTAATTTTAGCTGTGTACAAATCAACAAACACTCTCTAGACGTAGTTTGATTTTGGGTGAACCACGTTAAATAGTTTGTGTTCTTTTACAGTTGTAATTTTACCATCTTGATCGGCCCCGTTGGACAATTGCCAGCACTCCCCTTCCCCAACTCTAGACACCAAACTGTCGAAAACTATTAATCGTATGGCTAGCATGGGGTGGCAACTACTGAACCCTAGCTGCAGGATGCAAAACACTTAAAGGGTATATATGAACTGAAACTGTGTACTTACATTAAACTTGTAATGTCGAACCATGCATTCCACGGATACCGGAAAACACAAACACGCCACCAGAAGTACGACTCGAATCCACGGCACCATTGCCATTTTCTCTGGAGCTTTACTTCTCTCTCTCTCTCTCTCTCTCTCTCTCTCTCTCTCTCTCTCTCTCTCTAACAGACTTTAATTATTGCTCTTGATCTTTAGTTCTCTCTCTCACAACTAAAAGTTATACGACGAAGCCGTACTTATAAAGAGAGAAAATGTTAGTCTCTGTTGCCATGTCGTTTTTGCGTATAGTTTGGTAGGTGTAGATGAATGAATACTTAAGCATGAAGCTCTCTAGACGTATAAATATATCAGAATGTACGTATACGTATAGCCAGCTGAAGGCCAAGAAACTTCCTGAAATAAATTATATCTTTTGTATTACACAAAGTAGTTATATCTTATACATGTCAACTAAAACACTAGCTTTATTTGAAGCCATGTAAGTTGATGGAGCTCTCTCTCTCTCTCTCTCTCTCTCTCTCCCCACGATGTCAATTTTTTGAAATGGTCGGTTTGGTGAACTCGTATTGGGTAAAGTACACCCAAACCCCAGCTAACAAACCAAAAAGTGGATGGATTTGCTTCTCCAACCATGGGAATATCTCAAAGGTCAAGGAAATGACATAGAGCAAGCCACAATCAAAATCAACAGAGATTATCCACTTGATTTCTTCTATCTTCATGATATTTTCGCTTTATAACACTTAATTTTATATTGTTATTGACTAATTTACAAAATGAGATCTATATATTAGATATACAGTTACAGTAATTAAGTTGGTACCAAAACATAAAAGAAAAAACTTCCATAAAAATTAATATAGATCACATATGTTCACGATCTAAGGAGAACTTCAAAATTTCTATACTAAATTAATTTGTATCCCAGCATGCTAGTCTCCATTCTTGGAGAAAAAGTTTCACATAAATCAAATGCGAAAGAAATCAAAGTATGTTTCATCAAAGTTTCAAAACGGTCCAGTGGCTAATTACTAATTAATCATCATCAATATAGTTTTTAACTTAATCACATTTGTAAACTTAAAAATTGGGGTTTTATACAAAAGGGTATCGATGCAAGGTTCAATTTAGCCCAGAATATCTAGTATGGGGACATGCTTAACACGCCCCCTCAAGTGAGATTGCTCTTTAGTGGGTCACTCATCCTCTCATGTGAATCCACTCTTTAGTGAGTCACATATAAAGACAACTCCGCAATGGTAGCCCCTTTTATTTAGATTATGGGGACCCTGTCTTGGTGTCCCAACTCGGGTTCAATTGTTGTGCAAACCATATTTTTTTTGGTCTAGGCAAACTTGTAAGTGTTGGATTTTACACAAGAAGGCCTCAATGCAATTAGTAGTGCAACCATTCAATATAAAAGGGTTTAACTTCATCAGGTTCCCAATATGAGACATGCTCCAACAGGTTTGAGCTCATGCCATTTTTCGTCTAGCTGTATTTAGTCTCCTTTTTGTTGAAGGACGTATGCGTACAGATCTCATGAGCAAAAGACAATTGATAAATAAAAAATGGTTTTTGAATTCTTAGGAGCTGTTTGGTATCCTCCTTGCCCCTTAGCATACTAAGTCTTTTTAAATTAACAAATTGATGGCTTTAATGGCTTTTTATATTTCTGAATGATGTATTCAAACAGATTAATCAATTAGGATTGCTGTCTTTATGAGAATACTTAATTAATATATGGTTAATGGATGATAGTCCATGCATTTGATCATCGGGGAAGAAAGTGTGAACGTGAAAGTTGAATGTGGTGGGTAAACGATAGAAACATATATATAAAAAGGGATGTTAACAGAAACGAGTATCCTGTAGTTGAGCAATAGTTTTCATTGGACTGCAAAATCGATCGATCAGACAAATCTGTTTCCTGAAAGCTTAAGTTTTCTCTGTTTGAGTAACAGCTCAACTAACCTTTGCATGATCAGCTGAGTTAATTTGACACATGAAATTAATCAGACAATTTGTTGACTCCACGCCCTATCTATGAATTCTCTCTCTACTAAACATTATAAGGAAAAGAAAAAATTTAATGAATCCTTGTCATTTCTCATTTTTACAAAATGGTTTTTCAACACACTAGCTGTATTTTGACCAAAAAGAAAAGAGTAAAAAAGGAACACTATTCTATCGTAGAAGAACACTGTTATTTCTCCTTACGTGACAATCTAACATTATTTTACCAAACTACTGAATAAATGTGATAGTCTGAACTGGTTAATAAGTTGATGGTTTGTCAAGAAGATATTAATTGCATGTTAACATAGTTGTCTATTTGTTCGACATATATAGTTTCCAAATTAAATGAAGTTTTCTATGAATCTTTAGATGATGGTAAAAGAATAGATGGTTCGGATTATGAAAATTGTAATATAAAATGATGTCATAAAGGAGAAATGACTTTTCACATAAAGAACCAAGCACCATCCAAGCTAAAAAATAGCTGATTAAAGAACTTAAAAATAACCCAAAAAGAAAATTGAAACAACTTAAAAAATGGATAGCTAAAATGATTTGTTAACTGGGTTACACTTTAGCTGATGTAAGTGATAAGGCCATGCTAACAATTATCTGCCATTTCATTATTACTTTGTTATGCCATCTGATGACCAATATCGATAATGGAAATCAAAACCCTAAAATATATGTTAATCTTTCCTCACACACACACACACACACACACACACACACACACCAAAAAAAACCCTAATTCTTCTGCCATCAAAGCATAAGAGTTTCTCCTGTCCTAGGTGGTATAATTATCTTTGTGTTGTCCCCATTATCTGTTCTTCCCTTACAGCCCACCTATTTGGATCGGCCGTTTAAATATTCCTACTTACCTGGATATAAATTTCGTTAAAGTATGTGAAAGCCCGTTTTGATTGGTTGAGAAGATCGGATTAGGATCTAGCCGGATCCTCTTTGTGGGTATCCGGAAGATCAATCAATTATGTTTGTTTATATAAACAGTACCTAATGAAAACCGATTGCACGATATACTATGAACAGACATAATAAATTGACCTTCCAGATTTTCACAAAAAAATCCAGAGAGGATCCTCATCTTAAGAAGAAGAAATAGAATATGGAATTAAATGTTCTAAAAGATGCATACAGTCGTCTTCCACAGTTCAACTATCCTTGTGAAATAACAACCAAATCTTTGTGCTAGTTGGCTAAACAACTAATGATCGTTATCATTTTTTAAAGGTTTTTATCACAAATTATTCCTGAAATTGACCCTCACCATCAAGGTGATTCTTGAAATTGAAAATCAATCAATGTAGTCCCTGAACATAAGTGTTGCAAATCAATGCGATCCTTCCATCACAATTCTATTAAAAAATTCGGTAAGTGTTGATGTGGCACATAAATAGGTCCCATAAGTCCTTTTTTCCTCACAAATGATCCTTGAAATTGACCCCGAGACATCAAAATGGTCCCTGAAATTGACTTGTGACATCAAAAGGGTCCCTGAAATTGAAAATTAAACAATGTAGCCTTGCAAGTAAGTGCCCCAAATTAATGTAGTCATTCCATCACAATTTTGTAATGTGCTGATGTGACACATAAATGGATCACACAAGTCTAATTAAATTAAAAAATTACAAATAGGTTTAATAATTCAATAGTTAATAAAAAGTTGTCAAACCAAAAACTCAGTCCTGCAATCACCTTGGATCCCAATCCACATTCCTCTACCTCTGTCTACTCTCTAAAAAAAATCTCAATACACCCATATTTACACACTTTGACACCCTTCACCGAATTGAACATGGATCAATATCACCTTTGGTGACGGCTTGGCTGATTGGCAACGACTTCTGAGGCATCACCATTAACATTTAAGTGATCAACATCCTCACAATCATAATCTTGGAAAGCTTGTTCGGCGCTTCCCTGGTGGTCTAGTGACTCAAAGAAAGGTAAGGTATGCTGTGAGATAATGAGGTTATAACCGAAGTGCGTTTATTGTTGGTTGAAAACTATTTCTAAACCCTATCTTAGGCTTTGGTTTTGCCTTGTGCCTTTGAGAATTTATGGAAGGGATCTCTCTTCGGAGTAGGTCCTACTATAAGAAAGAAAAATTCTCATGTGCAAAATGGTATTTAGACAACTTTTTTAATTAATTAAACCCACATTAGCACTTAATTTTTTATTTTATTATTATTTTTTTTACAAAATTGTGGCCGAAAGATCATATTGATTTGCAACACCTATTTTCAAGGACTACATTCATCGATTTTAATTTTAGGGACCATCTTGATGGTGCTGTGGGTCAATTTCAGGGACCATCTTGATGGTGTGAGTTAATTTCAGAGATCATTTGTGATAAAAACCCGTAAATCTTGTGAGACCCATTTAGGTGCCACATCAGCACTTAATGGAAATTTTAACAGACCATGTTGATTTGCGACATCTATTTTGAGGGATTACATTGATTGATTTTCAATTTTAAGGACCATCTTGATAGTAAAGGTAAATTCTAAGGACCATTTGTGATAAAACCCTTTTTTTAAATATTATGGACCGACCCGGATCATAAAAAGGAACAAATGGACCAACCTAGTTGCTGAAGGCTAGGGTTTGTATCGAAACCTTTAAAACCTAACATTTTTTAGACCAGCCCAGGTCGAATTTTCCTTTTATGGTACGTATGCTGAGTCAATAATGACCTTCGACCTTAGAAATTGGTACCACAATTTGTATGGGTTTCTATTTTTTTAGATTTTGTTACGCTCATGAGTTGTTGCAATGCACGATCTATTAAAGTAGCAGATGTTGGTCACGTGATGTATGTTGTAGAAATGATAGATATACGTACCCAGCCGACCGGACAACTTAGTTGTTATCTACAAATGGCATAGATCATGCCCTAATATATGACAATTTATAATGTTCATGAAGTGGAGGGGAACCAGTAGAAAGATTCATACATGCAGAAAGAACTCTGAAATGTGTGTTTCAAACCAATGAGGAGATTACTTTGTACAGTTTGTAATTGCTGTGACCTAGCATTGTCAAATATATCCAAGGGTTTCTCAGAGCCAGCAGCATTTCCAAATATGTGCAATCTCCTTTTGTACATATGGAATTCACTCCTTTACCGAGAGAAATTAAACAT